CTTCGGCTGGAGCAGATGATCTGAGTAGAAAGCGGTGGTAGTTTCTTAACCCTTCAGCCACTCACATTCTCGTTGCCCCTATGTTGCTATACCTAGCAACCATTCCCGGGGCCCGGTCGGTGAGTTGGCGAGTCTCCGCCTGCCATTTTTACGTGTAGTAATTATATTGTTTCGGCAGGTGCCATAGTCATCCATAGTTCCCAATTTACCAGTCCACAGCAATCCATCCATAGCCCTACCTTTTTTTTTCATTATCCCCAATAGTTCTACACTAACCGGGGACTGTCCTTGGGTGCATTTCCATAGTGCATACAGGGATAGTGGCTGGTTCATGTCTCCATTACATTTATATTAAAGTTGTCTAAAGGGCCTCTGCGCAGTTGACTTCGGCCCCTCGTACGCCTCCCAAATGACCGGGACCCTGTGGTCCCGTGAATGGTAAAGATTTCACAGAAATTAGATACAATAATCAGATGAAATGGAATGTACTTATAATTAAATATTATAATATAGGTACTTGTAATATAGTATTATAACTTATATTAGTGTATATAAAATCTAAGACATTTTATTGTCAGTCACTGTAATTGGTTTTCTACCGATGTGACTGTTTTTTTTTATGGCATAAGCCGGTAAACGAGCTGACGGATCACCTGATGGTAAGCAATCGGCGTCGCCCATGGACACCTGGAACACCAGAGGCGTTACAAGTGCGTTACCGGCCTTTTGGGGATTCGAAATTTGACTTTTTGATAAAAACAAGCAAAAGGTGAAAACTAAAAAGCAAAATATAACTGTTATTAGTCTGTGAAAAGTTATTCGATGAGCTCCCCCCTTAAAAAAACTACGTCCTTAAGATTGGTTTACATCTCGGTTGATTGACCAAAATTAAAATATCGACCTACATGTAAATTCTATGTTCAACACTTTGAGCATCAATGCCTAATTGAATATTAAGCTATAAAAGCCTAACTATTAAGCCCTAATTCCATAACACCATCGAGTTTGAATTAAATATAGACGTGTGTTAACTAACAACATGAAGACTTGTGTAACATGTTCTGTTATTTGGTTGTTTACTCTGTTTTGCTATATAGGTAGGTAATGTTCAGTTCTCATGATATTATCATCCAAGTTTATTTTTGCAATGATTTTACAAATTAAATTCATCAACCGTTGAATGTTGAACGTAATGTTTAATATAATGAAAGATTGCCTGATAAAGATTTCGTTTGTCAGTGTGAATAGTAACTTTGAAAGTGCATTTTTAAATTGTCGATTTTTTTTTTTCTTTTACATTAGATGCTGCATTTCGTTGTGACTACAAGTACAGTACTGAAGCGAATGGTTGGTTCAAACATGTCGTCATACCAGCTACTTGGGCCGACGCACGGCTGCACTGCATGTTGGAAGGTAAGTTCACCAGCTAAGCAAGCCAACGTTTGCCTGAGACTGTGACGAAGAAAATATAAGCATAATTTAATTATGTGTTGTGTACTACTGGTTTTTGTACTGGATAATTTCTAAACTGGCTTGACCAATGTTTACAAGAATTTTACTGGCAGGCTAATGTACTATGGAGTAACACAAGGAGTAACATAGGCTAGTTTTGTCCTTAATCTCGTATTCTGCGCTAAGTCGCAGGCAACAGCCAGTTATTATCAATAAAAGAATAGTCATTTTTTGTTTTAATTTATAGCTTTTGTTTGTTTGTATATTTTACCTGATTGTGCGACACAGAGGAGAGTCGATTATCATTATCTACACTCATACTTACAATATTTCTTATGTCCATCCATTTAGGTGCAACACTGGCTTCACCAGTCAACTCACAAATCAGTGCCGACATGCAGTTCATCTTGAAGTCTTCCGGGTCGAAATCAGAAATCTTTACTGGAATTCACGCGACTTTTTCACGAAGCAACTCGTATTATACTATCGAAGGTATTTCAATTTACAACACCATATTTTACTTATTTTTTATTTAACTGTACCTTGCATTAGTTTATAACAACAATGATTAGACCACAATACTCTGTATCAGAGTTACAAAAACGATCAAAAAAATTATACATAGTCCCTAAAAAGTAAAAGTCAAAGCATTAAATTGAATTAATCCTTATGTACGCACTTTTGAAACGTCAAAAATTGAGTTGTCCGTCAGTTTGTCTATCAGTGAAACAGGGCGCTCGTTCCAATGTGTAGTTTCGAATGGAGAAGAACGACGAAGAAACTCCATCGTTATTCTTTTAAAAAAATGTTTTTACAGTATCATTATTTGATCCTTTACCTAATGTATATAATTTTTGTGAGAACGATGTAACGACAATACAACGTCAAAATTTAATTGAACTCCGGAATCAACTCCTGAAATAAAATACAATTTGAAAAAATGAGATAAAAACTAAAAGAAATGTCGGAAGCCCCAAGATATCTGGATTATTTTTTTTATTTTCTATATGTGATGAACTGACGTTTGACCATTATCTCGCTGGTAGTAAGCGATGAAGCGATGTAAGATGGAGCACGTCGTGCCATAAGCAACCTGTTCACTCGGGTCTTGAGGACAGCCAGGTTCTACCCTTCAGAAAATACAGACTCTGACAAAGAATTCCACTCTTTAGCAGTACGCACAAGGTGCATGTGGATGGGGTATCTACAAATGCTTTGCCGATTGTCTTGTAGAACGAGGGGCAATCAAGTTGTGCAATTCAATTAATTTAGTATGTCTCACGAAAGTTTTAACATTAGTCTACTCAAATGTTGCAGCTGTTGTCCTCAGAGCATCCTAAAAAAATGACATCTAATGAAATTCCAGGTATACCTCTTGGTGAAATTCCGGTAGTTTGGGCTGAGAATGAGCCAAATAATGCTGGGAATAATGAACACTGTATCACGTTTAACGTGAATGGCGAAGTGGCTGACAGATCCTGTCATGAGACTCGACCTTACATCTGCTTCCGTTCAGGCGAACAGAAGACTGAGATCAATGCATGCGGGACTGTAGATCCAGGTATGTATCTATCGTTTAACACCAGAAGAGTTCTCTGCTGAATTAATTTAGTCTTCAACATAAAATAATTAGTTTGTCATATTCTCCATAGCATAGGTACTTGGCAATATCGTATTCATTCATTAATACACTGCTCTCTGACACCTCATTGGCCGAGTGGTCGCAAGTGCGACTGCCGAGCAAGGGGTCTCGGGTTCGATTCCCGAGTCGGGCAAAGTATTGCTGGGTTTTTTTAAAAATCCCAGTAGTAGCACGGAGTCTGGAAAAGCGCTCGGTATATGGCAATAGGCTCACCCCCTATTACATGGGTCTCATAACATAAATAGTAAAAAGTGGGTGTTTTATATGTTCTGTGGGTGTTACATTGTACAGTGGCATATTGTGCACCACTGCTTACCCCTTCGAGGATAAAAGGCGTGACGTTATATTATGTATGTTTGTATCATTAATACACTTTTGGACCTTGATCTATAAATATTGTCAACGTATTTGAAGAATTGACACAGTATGTTAAAAAAAATAATTCCTGTCTTTATTTTAGAATACAAATTTGATTCAAGAACAGGCTCCTGCTATAAGCTCCACACAGTACCTCGCACATTCAGTCGTGCAAACTTCGCGTGTTCTGCTGAAGGCGGTCGTCTAGCCATAATCAACAGTCAAGAAGAATCTACAGTATTGTGGGAACTCTTCGCAAAATACCCATATGCAACGATGATCGGAACTTTCTGGAAAGACGATGCCTTTATTGGTTTACATGACTGGGGTGAATCTGGTGACTGGAGAACCATCAATGGTAAAAGTTCTGGTTTTATTAATTATCAAATAAGATTTTAATTATCATTGACCAATTCCAAACACTGAAATGTCCCAGAATTATTTTACTTAGTCTGATGATACGACTCATATATCAAAATAATCTTCATTTTCAGGTCAAACGTTGGCAGAAGCTGGATTCAAAACGTTTTATGGTGGAGAGCCAAATAATGCCACTACAGGAGAATCGTGTGGAACCTTCCATCGTACCGGTTACCTCAGAGACTATTTGTGTGAGAATCCTATACCATTCATCTGTGAGAAAAATCCAAAATATCCACCTGTGTGTCGTAAATCGGAACTAGAACCTGAATTTGATGCTAATAGCTTCTAAGAAGTCATTTTAACCGACTTATATACATTCTTAAAAATATTCATATTCCGTTGATTCTGCTCTGAAAGTTTGATTAAAATAAATGAAATTTATCTACACAAATTATTTGTTTTTTTATGGGATAAGCCGGTAAACAAGCATAAGGTAAGCTATCGGCGCTGCCCATGGATACCCAGAACACCAAAAGGTGTTACAAGTGCATTATCGGTCTTTTGGGGATTGAATTGAGGAGAGGATTGTTGGGGATTCGGGGATAAGGAAGATTGGAGATGGGGATAACTGGACCTCGTGTCACGCTCTGATCAATAGTTGTCGAGCAAAGCGGGTGAAGACGCGTGGAAGTAGCTAGTTTTTTACAAAAACTAGGTACGGAACATACAACAGATAATTAGAGCTGATCAGCCTTTCAGAAAAAAGAGATGGAACTAGTAACTTTTAAATCATGATGAGTGTGTTTATTTGAACGTGCTTATCTCCATTACTTATTATTACTAGTTCCAATGGAATATTTTCTTAAGTGGGGCTTCGGTAACCTCAACCACACGACGAAACACAACGCAAGCGTTGTTTGGTGTCGGTATTCTGTGAGGCCGTGGTACTCGGGCCGGCTCGATCCGAGTGCCGAAGCATGCATGCATTGAATTAAATTTTGACAAAAAACTATCGCTCGAAGATCAACTTGGATTAGGTATGAATCAATCACATGCAATTGTGTGATAACTACCGTGAGTTATACTAAAGTTTATTGGAAGTAGGATTACACCTGGTTGACGTATGTTTTCACAAACCGCCTCTGAACCAACTCTTAACTACGCTACTACTGACACGCTTTGTTTTTGAGGGTAGACAATCATCCAATGACTTCTCCCGCCCGGGTGAGGCGATAGGGAGTGTCAGACTCTTACTGACGAAAAACCACCCTGTTCCTACTCCTACACTTCGAGCCGGAGCCCCGGTAATCCGTTAAGTCCTCCGCGGCTCCGTATCGGCATCAGCCCTACCGAGCCCCATGTGTGGTGGTCTGACGGCTCTTTGAGACGCGCTCGGGACTTCTTACACGCTAAGTAAAAGAGTTGGTTAGCGAGTACGCAGTAGTAAGTAACTAGTTGTAACTAAGAGTTATTTAGCGTGAGGGACCACCTAAACTAACCCCATAACTGTACTGTTAGGAATCACTAAAAAACATAATGTCATTAAGAGTTAACTATCTTTGTCCACTTAGAGAACACTTAGTTCTTTAAAATTTAGGATAAGTTGGTGCAAACGGGCACTAGGGTCTAGTGCTGTGTATGTAACACCCACTTTTCACTATGTTTGTTACTAGCTAGCTA